GAGATAGGACCTCTGTTGGTCTTTTCTGTATCGAACACACAGATTGCAAGCCCAGTGCCACTTTGAGATTTTTGGCAGCAATTAATCATACAGCTCACACACGATTGAGCCGGTATGGTTATGAGTATTCAGAGACGGGTAATGCCTGGGGGGCACTCACCAACCTAAGACAGAGCACCTGTGTGGCCTGGGCAGGCGTCTCCATGACGGGTAAGGTGACCTGCTGACGTCCTACGAAACCCAAGTCAGAAGCTCATTTTTTAATAAAAAGGGGACCTGCAGGGCCCTGGCCCCCATTTTGGGTAACTGTTGCCTTGCTTACAGACCTTGACCTTGATATCCTCCCAATGCTAATTCCCTGCCAGATTCCACCCTCCTGAATGCTTAAGGGAAGTTCCTTGTCTGTGTATCCTGAATAATGGGCGTTAACAGCTTAGATGCAAGATTGCAAAACATCAGTAGCAAACTTCCGCCCTCCTGGGTCCTCCCATTGTGCTATAAGCCTGTATTTAACCTCCTACCCCCTTCAAGAAATGACATTCGACATTTAAAATTAATATATATATATAATTGAATGAATACTGCGAATGTAATCTATGAATAGCAAAAATGTGATTAATATCATGAGTGTAAGTAATGAATATCATGAGTGATGAGTGTAATTTAAAAAATAAATAAATAAATTTAAAAAAAGAGGTTTATTTCAAGGGTAACTTACAACCAATAAGGAGTCGATTACAGGATCAAGGAGAGATGAGGTACAGTCCAGCACAGTTCTCTGGGAAACTCTGACTTGGTCTGTAATCCAGCCTCCAAGACCATGAGGAGCTAAGAGAGCAAACATGTATGCATCTCGGGTCTTAAGGGGTCCCTCTTGGCCACACCCCAGGGGCAGGTATGGTGATATTTTACTTGTACTGAAATGTGATTTTATTTGTATGTTAATAAATAAAGTTGCCTGGGGGTCAGAGCTAATAGCAAGCCATAGCAGAGCCAGGCGTTGGTGGCACACACCTTTAATCGCAGCTCTTGGGAGGCAAAGCTAGGCGGATCTCTGTGTGTTCAAGGATACAGCCAGCATGGAGACCCACGCCTTTAATCTCAATACCAACCATAGAAGACCTGGAGGTCTCTATAGACGGGCAGTGACGAGGAGGTCATGTGGTTGGGTTTACAACCAATGAGAAGGCAGAATAGAAAGTCAATAAAAAGCACAAACACACAGGAAGTAGGTCTCTTTCAGAGAGGTAGGACAACAGTGACAGTGAAGGGTAAGGTTTTTAGATCTTAGCTATTGCTCTGATCTCTTGGCTTTCATCTCTGTATTGGCTCTGTGTTTCTTATGTAATAAGACGGTTACATCTACAGGCAGGTCATAGGCAGGTGTGGCAGTTACTTGCTGCCACACTGGGGGCAGTGTTTCAAGGTCAAAGCTGGAACAGTTACCCACTACAGACACTGCTGTGGGATGTCTTTCTGTAGCTGTGAATATGTCTTGCTCCCATTGGCTAGTAAATAAAGTTCTTTTGGCCTATTGCAAGACAGCTTAGAAACAGGTGGGAAATCCAAGCAGAGAGACAGGAAGAAGGCAGAGAGAGATGCCAGCCACCATTGAAGGAACAACATGCCAGCAGACTGGTAAAGCCATGGAACATGTGGCAAAACATAGATTAATAGAAATGGGTTAATTTAAGATATAAGAGCTAGCTAGCAAGAAGCCTGCCATAGGCCATATAATTTGTAAATAATGTGAACCTTTGTGTGTTTACTTGGGACCAAGTGGCTGCAGGACATGGGTGGGAGAGATTTGTTCCGACCACAGGGCCGGGAAGGAATGGAGAAACCTTCTGGCTACAGGACACAAACCCAAAAGCATCACAGGTGTATGGGGGAGGGATCTGGAAGGGGGCAGGAGGGATCAGGTGGAGGTACAATGGAAGGAGAGAGTACTGGGAGAGACAACTGGAATGGGAGGCATTTTTTGGATGAGCTAGAAACCTAGTGCAGTGGAAACTCCCAGGAATCTATGAGGGTGACCCCAGCTAAGACTCCTAGCAATGGAGGATATGGAGCTTGAAGCAGCCATCTACTGCAAGAATTCCAGTGGAGGAAGTGGAATACCAACCCAGCTACAAAACCTTCAACCTATAGTTTGTCCTGCCTACAAGATGTGTTGGGGTAAATGTGGCCCAGAAATTGTAGAAGTGGCTAACCAGCTTGAGACCCATGCCATGAGAGGGAGGGCACCCCTGGCACTTCCTGGAGAGCCAGAACCCTAAGGCTGGATAGCCCAGACACCTAGGATAGAACCAACAGGACTACCAAAAAAAAAAGTCAGTGAAATGATTCCTAATAATATTCTGCTATACTCATAGATTGGTGCCTAGTCCAGTTGGCATCAGAGAAACTAACTTGGGCTCATAGGGGCCCACAGAGACTGAAGTGACAACCAGGGAGCCTGCCTGGGACTGAGGTAGGCCCTCTGTATATCTGTTACAGTTTTGCAGCTTGATCTTCTTGTGGGACTCTTAACACTGAGAATAGGGGCTGTCTGTCTCTTTTGCCTGCTTTTAGGATGCTTTCCCTCATACTGGGTTGACTAGTCTAGTCTTCCTACAACTTGATATACCATGTTTGGTTGACATCCATGGGAAGCCTGCCCTTTTCTAGAGAGAAATAGAGGAGGAGTGGATGCAGGGGGTAGGGGGTACAAGGGAGAGATGGGAGGGGGGACTGGGAAGAAAAGAGGAAAAGGAAATTGCAGTCAGGATGTAGAGAAGGAGGAGGAGAAGAAGACACCAAACTCTATCACATATTTGTGTAATTGTTCTGAATTATTTTTGAAGAGACACTATGCATTTAAAATGAAGAAATTCTGTTTAACATTTTAAATCTTAAAGCTTTGTGGTCAATTATAATTTAGTATTAACCTTGATAATTATTAATTAGGCTTAGTTGTTACCTGTTTTCTTCCATTCCTGGAATATTTCTAATATA